GAAAATATTAGGTCTGTTAGTCCTGTCAGTGGTGTTCCACGTGTAGATTCAGATGTTAAGGATATTTATATGTTTAGATTGCGGGTTTCTGAATTAGAGCATCAGTTGAGATCAATTATACAGGAGATAGAAAAGGCCAAACGCGAAAAGACCGATTTCAACGGCACAACATCACCTCGAGCTGAGATTGCCCATGATAGTTACTCTCCGAATAAAGAATCTGTCCTGAAGCAAAGAAAGTACGCCCATGTGAACGTTGACTGGCCAAGAGTCGAACTGACGCCATTTGACGGTAATCCCGAACAATACTGCCAATTTATCCGCCAATATGAAAACTTTGTTGAATACAAAAACCCATGCAGGGCAAAGGGTTCTGTTCTTGCTGCATTATTGCCGTAGAACAGCCAAAGAAGTCATACAAGGGTGTGCAATGCTGGGTTCGGAAGTGGGCTACCCAAAATCGAGAAACAAACTGAAGGAGATGTTTGGCCAACCACTCCGAGTGACATGTAACATGATTGACGGAGTGCTGGCAAAAGCAAGACGCACACGAGGAGATACTATGCATCTATCAAACTTGGTCATCTAGATGCAGAATCGCCCTCAACCACCTCAGACTTGGATGCACTACATACGCTGGAATCGATAGTCAGATGTTTACTTGCCGAACTGCAGACAGCCTGGGCGACTGAGGCCGATCGAATCGAAAACAGAAACAGAGAAGCAACTTTTGACGAACTCACTGAATTTATAGGCTGCCAATCTCGCATAGCAAACAGTAGATTCGGTCAACTGGCGAGAGAGAGAGAGTATCAGAACCGTCAGACTTTCAACCAGCTTCGCGCCATCTGGATTTCGGGATGTCCATCTTCCACACAATTGGGCGATCACCAATTTACTCTCATACGAGCCAAGCAAACCGATTAAATGTAAACTGTGCTTAGGTGTTCACAAGCTTTGGCTGCCCGGAATTTTCGGCGATGAAGGGCCGTTGAACAACAGCTAAAATGATAGGGTCCTGCTTTGTGTGCTTACTTCTCACATTTTTCACGCGATTGATGAAATATATATCTATTTTATGTGAGTAATGGAGGTTTAGTTAAATTTCAAATGGGAATTCGTCGTGTATATAGCAAATGGGTTCGATCCCCAGTCGAGTCGATGGATTCGCACTGCTGATGAGAAACAGCTGTCCAGTGCTTCCGAGCTTTTCAGTTCCCGCTTCATTCGCTATATACGCACGCCGAATTGCCATTTGAAATACATCTATTTATTTATTTATTGTACAACCAAAAACCATGCAACTTCGTGCGCCGGTTTTGGTCGCTATCTTTTGGCTGCCCATTTGAATGAGGAGTAGGAGAAAGACAGGAATATTGAAAGTCGAATAGAAGAGAAATTGAGAATTTCAGTGGATAAATGTTGAAAAGAAGTTGAGATGCACGAACGCTACTGTTTACGACACTCGGTGTCTCACCATCGGTTACGGTAATGGGACTTATGTGACTTTCATAACACATCTTAGCGTGACCGTCCATGGCTTTATTCCACCCACGACCTGCCTCGGCGAACACCACTCGCTGTGGCAACCTATTTGGTGACAAGCGTAACATATCCCCCAACCAACGTAATCTATGGAGGTCGACTGCTTATTCCAGTGGGCGACCGCGGTTACCCATAAATTTGCGCTTAACCTCAGCATTGCTCGACCGGCTGCCCCACCAGATCCGTGTAATGCTGCGTAGACAATGATGTTTAAACACCAACAGTCTATCTTTAACCCGTGTAGTAGCCACGTTTCTGCGCTGCATAGTATAACTGGTCGAACTGCTGCAGTATATTCGACTCTTGAGAGATAACCGGATGTCGCTACGGCACCACAGATGTCTCAAGTTAGGAAATGCCAATCGAGCCTTCTGTATGCGCGCCGACACTTCATCCGTAATGTGTCTAACAAATGAGATGTAGCTACCAAACTAACAAAACGTATCCATTTGCTACAATACTTCCCCGGTTGGAGTGAGTCTCGGTGTTTGATCAATTCAGTCGTGTAGCAATATTTTACACATTCAAGGTGCAAAACGCATACCGAACATGACCAGACTGGAGCTCACGCTGTCCAGAAGAGCTTGCAACTTACTTGCATCTGCGCTTAGCAGCACAACGTTTGCCACCTGGAAGTAAATCCATGCATCTACTCTCGCACAAGGAAAGAGCTATTTGCATGATCAAATCTCTAACAAACTTAAAGAAAAAAGGAGAGAGAAGGCAACCCTGATAAACTCCACTTTCCGTGGTGATCTTGGCCGTAAGCCCGGACTCGACTTCGGCTATTAGTATAAAGCAATCGTGATAACGAAATTATCTCCTGGGCTACATCCTTCAGCGAAAGGCAGCGCCTGAGTCGAAAACTGCTTTCAAATCTAGGAAAACAGAGATGGTGATTCTACAAAAAGAATTTTGATGCTCCAGATTTTAGTGCAGAGTGGCGATGTGGACGATACACCCGCGACCATGTCTAAAACCAACCTGGTTCTCACGCATGCACCGGTCAGGTGCGGCAGACAATCGACGGAGTATAATACCAGCGAGAATTTTAGGGACGATATTGATTACACTAATTCCTCTGTGGTTTTTGCAAGTTGGATTTGTCACCGATTCACACCATTCAGTTGGAATCTCTTCCCTTTCCCATATTGAGCAGCGAAGTTTCATCAACTCCAAGACTAACGCTGAGCTTCCATCCTTAAAGGCTGATGGGAACAGCCTATCAGGGCCAGAGGTGATTATTTCACAAACAGAAGGCAGTTTACGTGTCTCAACGGCAAAAATCCTCCACTTGCCCAGTTTCTTCTGCTGTTCTGCAATATTTTCGCCGTTTTTCTTTTCAGTGTATGCCAAACAATTTCCCATTCCTCCTGCATTCGTTGGCTGTAAATAAGCAGATGACGTTGTGTTAGATTGCAAAGCATTTAACCCTGAAGAGACTTTAGAAAGTCAAAGCAACTTAAACAAGGTTGTTACTTGGTCCTCGTCCCGTTCCCTCTCTTTGGATGCCTCTAAATGTCAGGATGTTGTTTTCTCTCACGGCCGATGTACCATATTCAGCCCTCGCGAATAGGTTCCCCAACCTCTCTGCCATTCAACAACCCGTACCGAAATTAACAGTAGTAATATACCTTGGCGGTACCTTATCACACAATTTATTATGGTCGCTGCATGTTCAAAACACGTTGTAAAGTTAGAAAGCTTTCATATTTCTCACTCCGACTGAGATTACTTTCTGTTCCCCATAAGCTGATTGTTAGGTTTGTGAATGCATGCGTGCTACCCCACTGGTTGTATTGCTCCCCAGTGTTTTCCAGGTATGCTGAAGAAAGACTTTTATTTACTGGCGAGTTCTCTGAAACATATCTCTAAATGTAGTGGCTTTGTTAAGGATAAACTCGCAGATTGTAGCATAAACAGACACCTAGAAGCATGCGAAATTTTCACTGCCAAAGTACTCTGACACTCACCACTCATTACACAACTAATTTTGGAACGCTGTATCTACATCATTCACAAGATTTAAACTTTTATTTGAACCTATACTTATCGTACTTTTGTTCTGCTACATAAAGTACGTCTACTTATTGACAAGGAGCAAATTTCACCAAAATTGTGCAAATGCTCGCTTCATTGGCAAAAACAAACTACTGCTTTCAGTTTCATTATGTAATGATTTTGTAAATTTGAACCCACAAATATGGTGTTAATGTGAAAATTCACCCATCCGGGTGCATAATCTACTACTGATTTGACGTGACTTAAAAACTGTACAATATTGCAACATGGTTCGCTGAGAGTAGTTGGTTGACTGAAAAACTCTGAATTGGATTTTGATACTAAACATCCCATCTTGCCCGGAAATCACATCACGAGGATTTTGGCGGATGGTGTATTTCGTGTTGATTCTTTCGAAAATGTTCCTAAATCCACTATGATTCTATGTGACATCAATCTATCCGTGTGTTGCTTCTCTGCTGATCTTTCTCAATCACAAACACCTGTTGCGAGATGTCACAAAGTATGGAGCCGCCGAAGTGGACAAGGAAAGCCTACGAAGCTCTAGAGATGATGAAGGGTCCTGAGATGGGAAGGTGGTTGAAGAGCTGCAATGCGTTCTAGGCCAATGACCGGTAATTCTGAAAATAAGTTGAGCCGTGACAAGGCATCGGTCACGACATTTGCAGCGCCAGAAACATTTCTTATATCAGTTGTCAACTGAGCGACATAGTCTAACTGAAGTACCTCTCGGGGTAAATACTTTTCACTATTAGATTTCAGAGCAAAAGTCAGGTTTGTGATCGGTGAAAATAGTAAATTCATGTCCCTCAAGGGCGGAATTGACTCACAGCAAGATATATAGCTAACAGCTCACGGCTGAATGTGCTATAGCGCTGTGCGGCTTCCGAGAACCGACGAGAAAAAAGCCTCAAGGTTGCTACTAATTATCAACGAGTTGTTGAAGGACAGCGCGGCAACGTTGTAAGCATCAACGGCCAGGCTAAGAGGTGCGTCCGCAGAGTGGTGAGCTAGAAATGTAACTTGTGACAGTGCCTCATTAACGGCATTGAAGGCTTGGAGGGCAGCGTCGTTGCTGATTTAGGGTTTCCGCGAAGTAGATCGGTCATGGGCTAACAGATCTGAACACAACGCGGGATAAAACCACGGTAAAAATTAATTAATCCCAGAAAACGTCGCAAGTCCTGAGCTGTAGTGGGGACGGCGAAATGACGTATGTCATCAACCTTGGATTCTTAAGGACGAATACTAATTTGGTCGATAGTATGCCTCAGAAAAATAAGGGAGGTGCGGCCGAACTCGCACTTGTCTGGGTTGGTAGTGATGCCATGAAGACAACACGTAAGTGAGTAAGATGTTCAGGTTCATTGCTGCTGACAATGAGAATATCATCGAGGTAGGCAAACACAAAGTCTTGACCTCGGAAAACACTGTCAATGAAGCGTTGGAAGGTTTGAGAAGCATTTCTCACGCCAAAAGGGCATGCGAAGAAAGTCAAAGAGACCAAACGGCGTGATCACCGCGGTCTTTGGGATGTCATCAGAGTCAACTGGTACCTGGTAGTAAGCACGCAACAGAGGAAGTTTAGAGAAGATAGTGTTGCCATATAGGCAAGCTGTGAAGTCATGAATGTGCGGGATAGGGCAGCGGTCAGGGGTGGTAACACTGTTAAGAGCACGATAATCACCGCATGGACGCCAAACTGCCGAGTCCTTTTTGGGGACCATATGAAGGGGCGACGCACTGCTGCTGTCGGATGCCCGAATGGTACCGGCTGTGAGGAGCCGGTCAAATTCTTCCTTCGCGGCACGGAGTTTATCCGGTGCGTGACGACGAGCACGTGAGAAGACTGGGGGCCCTGACGTGCGAATGGAGTGCGTGACAATCGTCGTGACAAACTTTACTCCTAACCGTTTACACTTTGAAGGTGCAAAACGCATACGGAACATGGCTACGCGACACGTTATGCCATATGGCACACAAACTTGGCCATTAAGAAAACAGGATCTAGATAGGCTGTCAACCTTTGAGCACCGCTGTCTATACAGCATTGCACGAATCTGAGGTGGTAACCTGGCTTTGTGAAGGGCGTATCACACCCGCCTTAAGCAATAAGTCAAATTGTCGTTTGGGTAAAGCCAACTTATCCAGAGCTAAACGACGTGCGCGGCAATGTACGGGTGGGCCGCGAATGAGGATCGTATGGTTAACCGGTGTAGTGACCGGGGGCGAAATTGTAGAAATTGGTTGAGAACAACCTAACAAACGTTGCAACCCAAAATGTAGACCGTTGTTTAAGGCGGGGCTTATTGCCACTGTTTCAGTTGCTAACCGTTTCACAGAGTTGGTGCTTTCGAGGAGCAAGCGTTTGCCTGTGTCGACAGTGAGGCGGTGATGTGCTAAGAAATCCATTCCAATAATAGGAAAAGGGACTTCAGCAATCAAGAATGGCCACTCAACTGCTTTAGATAAGTTAGATCCTATAGTGAGGATCCTGGTACCAAATGTACGTATTGTGGAACCGTTAGCCGCAGTGAAGGTGAGTGCTTGAGCTGGAAGCCTAGCTTCAGTGGAGGAAGGAGGAATGACGCTCACTTCCGCACCGGTGTCCACTAGGAAGTACACACCGCTAATGGATTCTCTAGTTCGCGTGCCAACGGATGACGCCGTAATCAGTCGTCGGCTTAGTTTTTTCCCGAAACGGGTTGACCTTTCCACGAGCACAGGTGGATGCATTTGGCAGCATCTTTACCAAAACGTGCGTGGTACCAAAAATACTTTTGAATGTTGTTTGGCGACTTAGGTTTACGGCGATTGATCGATTGTGGTTTTCCACTAAAGCGTGCGTCTCTAGATTTTTTTATCCATGCTGAAGTCGCTTCGGTTTTTGATGAAGGTCTGGAAGAGGCTGTCGACAGATGTGGCTCGAGGGACGGCGGGGGTAACCGTAGGTTGACGGTATTGCATGGCATGATCTGCCATAACCGTCAAACGCTCAATGGGCATGTCTTGCGTTGGCGCAAGAAGGAATTGGACGTCTTGTGGTAACTTTTGTAACCATAGTTCCCTAACGAATGCGTCGTCTTGTGGGATGCTGTCCATTTCATTACACATGAGCCTCCAAAGTTGTAAAGGCTTACGGCCACCCAAAGGCATGTCCTGGATTACGAGTCAGATTTGCTTTTTGTGGGAGCTTCCTGCGCGTTCTAGTATGGCATCCTGTAGGGCTTCGAAAGTCCCATCTTCCGGAGGTTCTAAAACTACATCCAAAACCTCGGCTACTAGGTGTTCAGGCAACCAAGAAACGACGTGGTGGAAATTAGTCTTTGAAGACTTAACGTCCCTAGTTGGATATTGTGATTCTAGGACCGCAAACCACGCCCTAGGGTTAGATACCCAAAATGGAAGGGGTTGGAAAGTGACGGCCACCACGGAAGAAGGTTCGTCGGATAAATCTAATAGATCCATGACGAAAATAAAAACACTTAATAATCGTTTATAAAATGTGCAACCCCAAATAACTCCATCAAAAAATGTAGAGTTCAAATAGCGATAACGGTTGAGTGAAAATGCCACAAAAATTGCTAACATTTTCTAAACGAATAAAAAATGGTTCAAAAATTCCAAAGATATGGAGCGGACGCACCAAAATCTAATGATTTCCCAAAATGAACTGAGGCAGTTGTATGTGGGTTCACTAATTTATTGACTAGGTGGTTGCTGATGTTAGTCAGAACCTGTCACTAATGTTTGCTCACGTTCTTCCCGGATATCCGTCCCAAGAAGAAACAGAACCAAGGATTGTGATGGTAGAAACTTCCGACATGTTGAAAGTAAGTTTGGCTAGGCCTAGGCTGTTATTTAAGCAACGGCAGAGGAAACCTGAAAGTAGATCTAATCAATGCAAGGAAAGCGTGCGATACAGAGCTCACCGTGGGGAATTGTGCCGCTTCGGTCTTTTCGAGCTCATTAAAAGCACGATAATAGTTAAAGCAAAGCTTAATTCTGGAAGGGTCCAAGTTGCTATATCTAGTAAAGAAACTTTCTCTAGAAGATCGCTATTGCAAAATAATGGCGATACGTGCTAAATCTCGACGTTACACTTGATTGTGCCAAGTAGAGAGTAAGGGTCCTTATGTTAGAAGGAAAAGATTACCGGTAGTCTAGCTTTTGTAATTAATCTACATGATGGATAGGCTAAGTCACTACTTGATATTTGAACATTTGTGGTTCTGATGAATATGTCATGGTCATGTAGCCATGTCCTGATAGTCCTCAATTATACAGGACTGGTTGGAAACTTAGCCTGTCCTGATATTAGTCACCAGCGTAGGGTGAAGGTGCCCCTGGTCGATTATTTGATGATCAGGTCCAGCTTGAATGGATCTATAAGGAAACTAAGAGAAAAACAAGAGATAAAAAAAGTAAACTACTGTTGCAAAATTGTCGGTTTAAGAACCGCTAGAAACCGACCCAGTAATGCTGATGTTGGCCCACTCAAGCAAGTAGTCAATCTTCATACATTACGGTGGTTGGGACATGTATAGCGCGTTTATCACCAAACAGGTCGCCACAGCGAGCGAGGTTTGCCGAAGCTGGTAGTTGGTGGGAAAAGGTGATCAAAATAAGACCTGACATGAGGGTATGAAAAATCCAACCAGGAGACACGCTCACATAGACCGCATTAATTTCCCTGACTGGGGACCTCGGGATGATCGTAACCTATGGTTAGAGACAATGAGTGATGTGGCTAAGTGTCGTAAACAATGGCAATCGTGCATCTCAATTTCTTTGTAACCTTAGACCACTGAAGTTTTCCATTTTCCATTCTACTCTACTTACAACCTTTGTCTTTCTCTTACTGCTCATCCAAACGGACAGCCGAAAGACAGTAATAAAAAACCGGCGCACGAAAATGTATGCTTAACGATTGTAAGAACTGAACTAAGTTCGTGGTAAACGATTTTACTGCACGACAGTCCGACAAACAACGAAAGATGCAAAACAAATGTCTATCAATTAACGACAATCCAGAACTGCTAATTAAGCAGAACGTACAAGAGAAACCTAGCAGACGTTCACGTCTTGATTGCTTTACCAACCGTTACAAACAGGTTCTCCCACCCCAACCACACATATCAGACAATGAACGTTGGTGGTTCAGAATCGCCGCGCTGCCTCAATTGTCAGATATGTGCGGATTGCTCATCGTTCTGAACTAATACAGATATAATAAATTATTACAAATATCCACCACTGATTGTTTGATAGATTGAAATCGGCAGTGATCAGACTGATAACTGGACTCGAGCCTTTCATAATACGACCACTTGGAGGTTTGAGAGACAGTGATGCACCGGTATAAACATCAATACTTGTTTTGACGTTACTTTTTTACTATATAACTTTAATAGCCCAGGGAAGAGGTTTTCGAAAACCAGCTTGTTCGCTAAACGAATACTTTTTTTCTTCATACGAAGATGGGAAATTTATGTGAGAATTGTATTCAATATTCTCATAAAGGTCTTACAAGTACACGGTTTAAAATTGGCATATAGTGACAATACGCCTTGAGCAATCGATCGGTCTCCACAGTCCTTTCTTTGTCGAAGCGGCCAGACATAAACCCCGATAGGTGTCACGGAAGCAAATCCAATTTCTGCACGGAATACGAACAGAAACAGGAGTGCAACATACGCGTATACAGGCATATCCTCCGGAAAATCGTATCGTTCGTCCTCACTAACCCGTTTTCCGCTCAAATGAAAATCTCCATCGGCCAACTTTGCCAAGGTCGCCTATTGCACATAAGGGAAGACCAAACGATAACAAATGTTTTTCTTTGTGCCAACTTACACTTTCTTCATCCGATTCCGGTCGAACAATCATACCACCATACCTAGCACACGCTTCTTCCGCTTCGTCGTGAGTGTGGTTCTCGAAGAATTTCATATAGCATTTCCCATGGGGAGGCAAACAAACCATCTCTGGTGTGTACCGTGTATAAAACAACACGAGAGAAATGCAATGATTACCACGATCTTTGTTCACACGATCCGCTTTGGGTACGAAGCTGCCCAAAACACGGGAACAGTTCACAGTATCTTCCGTTGGAATATTTTCTGATGTTTGACCACTCGTATAGAGCACAAACAGTATGCATAGAAAAACGGTAGATCTGATGCGATTAAGGCTCCACATGTCAATACACGGATGGTCAGACAAGGCACGCCGATCAATGGAATGACATTTGAACAAGACAGTGAAAGATGACTGCGACTGAAGTAAGCATCACGTGAGGCTACAGTGAAAGCGATTGCCAGGGGTGCGTTCATTGGTATGAACTTCAAGTGTTTGGTTTCGAGACAAAATAAACAATTTGATAAAGACTGTGTGAATGAAAGACACTATTCATGTGCACATTTTCCTCTGAATGAATAAGTAGTCGCCAAGTGTTTAATTGAACGGAAACTTTGTTGTATAATCTGTTTTGTCATCAGAATAGTCTTTCAGTTGAATGAAATGAAATATCACGCCACTTTTCACAAATATGCCATCAGTGGAAACCATCCAGATCATCATCAATCATTTTATTGATAACAACAATAATTTGGGGATACCCACAGAAGCGCTACGCGAATTCTTATTTCGGTGTACATATAATGTTGTTTCTTTTCAACGGACAACTGACAAAAAGACGGAGTAGAAATGGGATCACCAGTAGGACCCCTTTTTCATGGCGATACTGGAGGATAATCAACTGAAAGGGACCATTATTGGTCCACATAAATGCTGTTGGTTTGTAGACGACATATTTTGTACAGCTGATTCAAACTGAGAACTGGGTCAACTAATAAAAAGGACCAATTCCTCCCGCAAGGCCATAAAATTTACACAGGAGGTAGAAGCAGACGATCGAATACCGTTTATAGATTAAATTCTTNGATGGATCTATACAACGCCGTAAGAAAACACCAATTTTCAGTTATGTATTGTTAGGGCCGAATTCCAACCGCAACGCTATGCACAGTAATTTGGGGCCCGTAACCCAACACAGAAAAACAGAACACACAAGACGGCGTGCGGATCAGAATCGGGTTACCGATTTAATGAATGATCGTGAGAGTACATCAATCTATTAAACGATGACCGACAATTAGGTCAAGTTGGCGTATGGACAAGATGGATTGGAGGAGTATTAGTCAGTGTCTGTCGTGAACAGCTGTGTCACGTGATAGGATAAGCAATGGGAACTGATAGACGAATGCGTACGTAGCATGCACCCAA